GGGTCAGCTTCAGAGTAGAGGGTGAATTGAACTTGAATCCAAATGTTTATATACGCCGGTGCTAACTATTACTGCAGTTTTTTTCCAACATCAAACCGTTATTTCAACACCGCGACACGTGTTTCGATCACCAAATGATCATCTTCCGGTGCTGTTTGACACAATTATACAAGAAAATGGTCATTGATATCAATTTGAGTAACTGTATCACAAAAATGAGTGCAGGTTGGTGAACAATCTGCTAAATGTCATTTCGATTCAATATACTGTACTTCAAATTCCCAATGTCGATGTAAGAAAAATTTTATCAAATACTGTATAAATTATTACACTGCCAGCACTTTTGCCTGTGACTATTGTTGTTATTTCCCATCGCATATAAACCATTCAATACATCTGCTCCTTGTTTCTTTGCACTTGGTGTATTCTGCTGGATCAGCGCGTATATGTCAGATGCATCGTACCCATTTGTTGTTTTAAGATAGCTCGTAACTGTCTCAACACCGTCCAATAATCAAAGAAGAACTGAGATGAGTAATTTGCTATGTAGAAGATATCATAACGTTTCTTCATTGTTATCAATACGTATTATAAATTAAAGACCCCAGCCGTGTCTGTCTGTCCCAAAACGATAAACTCAAAAACTGCAAAACGGATTTTCACACTGTTTTCACCAATGGCCGAAGTGATTCAAGAGGAAGGTTTATGTGCACAATTTATTGAGAATATATATGAATCGGTTGATATATGACGATGCTATCTGTGAGAAGTCGGAGCGGTGGTACTACCTTGCGAGCTTTCAGAAAATTAGGCAGCGTTTTCGTTACCCTTTGAAATATTACAAAACAATTCACTACCTACATAATCATCCTAATTTTTAGATTTAAGAACAGTCCTCTATTTCATGCCTGTTTTTTATCGATTACTTACTATACTCATACTCATTTTAAAGTATAAAATAATGGTCACATATGACGTGGTAATTATATAAATTATTACTTACTTTTCTGATTGATTCGGCTGTTACTTGATGAATATCCATAGTAATTTCAAACTACACCTCACGATTTGATCTCCACAAATTTGAAAGTTTTTGGCGACCTGATTTCGGGAAGTCGAAGGGGGTGTGTTTCTATGGATAAAAAATGGTTTATCTCGATTTCATATGAAAAAAAGTTGAATAGCAAAGTTGTGTGTGATAAAAAGATCTAAAACTTTTGTATTCATAATTTTTCGCATAACCTCAAAGTTTATGTGAAAAATTCAAATAACCAAGTTTTTGGTTTTTTATTTTTATCTTNTTCATTAGTTTTTGTCTGTTTGATGGCATTTCTTTTTCGTTAGATTCGACAAACCTTTCCAATTCTAGTTGATCTTCGAAATCTTCAAGACCATCACTTTCTTCGTCTCCAATATTATTTTCAGTCTGCCTTGGTTCTTCATCCACAAGTTCATCTGAATCATCAACATCCTCGTAGGTTTTTCTTCCATATTCCTCAGCCCTGGTCTGAATTAATATCTAAGGTGAATTAAATCTATGGCGTCAAAAAATAAACTCCAGCGACCTGACAAACCGATGCGACAAAGTAGATAAGTGCTTATCTATTAGTTAGTATCTGGAGTTCACGGCTTCGCTTATGGAATTGATGGAATTGAATAAATACAGGGAACTTCTGCACGGATGAGGGATAGAGAGCTAGCAATGAATGAAACGGGAAAACGTTTCTCAATATATAACACCTTAAATTTACNACTGCTAAATTGTTCTTCCTGTAACCTGTATATTTTTTTTGTTTGAACGATTTGCATTCAACGTCTCGCTTACTGTATTGAAGTAACTACATAAATATTACATGTACCTATGAACTTACGAGGATTTAATGAAATCCTATAAACAAACGTAATTATACGAATTTTGGGTATATTATTCTTTGAAATTTTTTAAATTTTCTGTAGGGGATTCAATACTTCTTTCTATTTTTTTTTATATAATCTTCCACAATCTGAAAAATAAACAAAGCTAAATGAATAGAGAAGCAGCTGAAGGGCAAACTGAAAAGTTACACTAAAGAGTGCAATCAGTCAGTAACTTGTCGTTTTCATACATTGTGCCTAGAAATTGATTTTTTCAATTTATATAATGATTTTTTCAATTTGTGAATACGACAGTTACTGACTGTAACGTAGTAATTTAGTAACAATTTCATTGCGATCATTCACATGCTTCAAATGAGAATTTCGGCTTAACAACATTTGGGATGCCTTATAAAACTTCGAAGGGATTCAATTCGTATTGTTTCTCATTGTAATAAAACAAAACGAACAAAATTGTTTCTATTATGAGACCTGGGTTTTTATAGTTTTCAAATGCATATGAATAACTGATTTTTGAAAGTTAATTTCATGATTTATCTACATTATTGAAGGCCATAGTTTTTCTTAAAAAAAAATATTGGATTCGATTTCAAATTAGGGTGGTGGGAATTGTCACCTCTAGTGTCCTCGGCAGTCGAAATTTCCAAATTCCGTGAGAATTTACTGATGCTAGAAAACTGATTCCATCAAAAAAAATTTATAACAAATCATATCTTACCTAAGAATATTTGATGAGAACTTAGTGATGGAGGGAAAACAATTTCACTGAAAAGTTTGATTTATATTGTGGGTTCAGGAATTGCCACCCAAAATTCTCGAAACTTTGCAGTGGAAAATTAACTGGATTCAGTTGTTGGTATTTCATGAAAATTTGTGGATGCTACATCATTTTTTATATAAAAAGTAATTGTTTGTCAAGACGGTTGAAATTGAAACCCTCTAAAAATACTCAATGAGAATTTTTTGTTAAGTTTCGACATATGACAGATAAAATAATGTAGGCATATATGTTCTGCTACACGTACGAAACCAAGTCAGGTATCTAGTAAACAAAGTCCCCATCATTCAGGACCACAGGTAGACTGGGGCTGGAAAAATGAACTATGAAAAATCCCCCTTTTTGGGCTAATGCAATTTATCGACAAAAAGCAGTCATGTTCTGAAAATAGTAATTTTTGAAATTCAGATTTAGCTTTTCTTTGGTGATAAAAGTGTAAACACACTTTTATTGAAACAAATAAGAAATATAAAAATTATACAGAACAGGTTTAGAGGGCGCAGACTTTTGAAAATTGTCAAGGGTGCAGAAAGTGTTTCGTCACTGCAGTCGCTTCACGAAATGGAATATGTGTTAAGAACAATTTTTAATTTGTTACCTGTTTCTTTTGACGATAATTATTTTTCATTCATTCAGTTAGGCTTCTAGTTTGGATCATCTTCTAATGAGCATCATTTTGTTGAATGTTGAAAGCAAATATGCTAGGAATCACTCGTTGAAAGATAAGAACTCGTTAATACTTAGCTCGCACATGTTTCGACTTGTAAGAGTTGTCGTTCGTAAGGGGCGACAGCTGATTAATGAAAAAACATAGTCCCTATGTAAAAAGTTTCCACATTTTCCTACCTTTCAAATAATACTAGATATCAAAATGGGAGCAAATTTAAAGAAAAATATGTCATTTTTAGAGATAAAAAACAATTAGAGAATGCTATTAAATTTTTTTGTCAAATACTGTTCATTCATGGAATAAATAGAATGAATAGGTACTGCAAACCCAAATGATTTTTCATATGACGATAAGTTTCAAGCACCTCTCATATTGACAGTTTAGTTCGAGAGTGACTGAATGAGAATTATTAAAGGAATGTTTTCAATTTTTCGCGTCCTTTAGAAACAATTGCAAATGATTGCTTTGTTTATATTATACTTAGCTTATAAATATATGTAAACAAATTAACTGTAAACGTTCAAGCCAGTCTCGAATATACCTACACAGTATGTTGAATGGACTGACGCCTATCAGAAAACAACTACTCTCCAGGCTAATACCACGAAGGGCGTTGGATTATATCCCACAGGCGTCAGTGCAGGAATCTTCACAGAAAATTTCCTGCATATGCAATTGGCAATACAACTGAAAGTGTCGACCTTCAATTTTGGAACGGGCACACTTGCAGAAGTTCATTTCTTCAGATTTGTTTACTGCCAGTCTTCAAGTATAGCCCACTGACTAATAAGAAAGTTTTTCTTTCTTGAGACTGTTAATAGCAAAATTCTATTAAGTAAACTGGAACAAATAGAAGTAAGTTCGTTTAAAATTTAACTGAAATTAATTTCAATAACAGAAAACAGTATGTAAAATTGAGTGCCCCAAACATTTTTCAACATGGTGTGCCACACGGAACTGTTATGGGCCACCATTGAAACTATTCTTAAATGGTTTATTGAATTAACATTCTCAAACAAAAATTCATTCATTTTCAGGTGACACTGCAATTATCTATTGTGCCAAAAATTTGATGAGCTTGAAACAAAATGGTACAAATGACCTTAAAATTATAAAAGGATGGTTTGATGGAAACTAACTAACTATTAATATCAGTAAAACTGTATTAACTACAGGATGAAAAAGTTAAGGATTCCACTGCCTATATTCAAGTTTCGGAACAATTTTTGAACATTACTGAACTCAAAATGTTATTTTATTGATCAATTCAACCCCAATTTACATTGGAGTGGTGAACCAAAGTCAGTTTGAAAAAATTATAAATATCCAGAATATATATTTTTTAAATTATCCATAATAAAAATTAAACACAAGGGACGAGTCATATAAGAAATGTGAAAAGTTGATATTGCTCAGTTATTTTGTAAGAAATGTCTTTGCAAATTACAAAATATTAATGAATTCATTTTTAATGGCCACTCATATAATATCGGGAATAAAAAAATACAAAAAACTGAAACAAACAAAATGAACGAAAAAAGGAATTATAAATGAATTATAAATATATAGGACTTTATTTTGATGACAAAATTCCTGAAAAAATTGAAAAATAAAAATTTGCACTCATCCTAGTATATTGCAAATGAAATTTTGTAATATTTGTATTATATCCTCAAAATGAGGTTAATTCGTAAGTTGTGTTGTTTATTCATCTAAAATAATCTGTAATTGTTTGTTGACTACTTGTTACTATTACTTATGTTACTATGTTAATGAATAGACAATATTATTATTACAAGTGATACATTCAATACTTCTCTTTTCAGCTGAAGGGCGAGAACTATTATCGAAACTCCTTGCCAATCGCAGCTCGGTTTTTTTCGTATTGAAAAAATATAAAAAAGTTATCAAGGATATAATTGCTGTGGAGAAACTGGGTTGCTATCCAACGAATTTGACTCATAAATTGGAGTGGCGGAAAGAAAGAAGCTCAAAAGCACTTATGGAGCTCAATACAATAGATGAAAATTATGATGAAACGTTGAAATTTTTGGTGGAAAATGACATTATAACCGAAGCCCAACGTAAAGAAAAAAACCAGGAATTCGAGAAATTCAAAAAAGAAAATAAAATAAAGAAACACCAGTTGGATATTCTTGAAGATGTTGAAGATTTCGTAGGAGGAAAGAAGTACGTCGCAGCACACCCCGCAGTCGATATTGCTTACGACAAAAAAACAGGCAGAAATGCGGTCGCGAAAGAAGACATTCCCATAGGCACAATTATTTTGAAAGAAGAAGCTCACGTTGCCATACTTACAAAGAATAAATCATTAGAGAACTGCCAACATTGTCTAGCATCTACTGATCAACCTTTGTCTTGTCCAAACTGTGCCAATGTCATATTCTGTAGCACAGCTTGCCAGAAAATTGCTTTAGATTCGTATCATGGTTTGGAGTGCAAAATGTTTGATACTATTCGAGAATATGGTACAAATGTTTTCCTTGTACTGAGGATGTTCACTCAAAGGGGATTTTCATTCTTTTTTGACCAAAGAGAAAAACTCTCTAAATATTTAGCAGATAAAAGACCTTTGGGGGTTCCTCAGAAAGATGTTTATCATCATGACGATTTTGACAATGTCATGTTTTTGTTTCGAAAAGATCGTCATAGTGATGAGTTTGATGTTTTCGTCTACTATTCAACTGTGTGCAGTATACGCTTATTGAGATTGATGAATTTTTTTCCTTCCTCAAACGAACGGAAAATTTTAACAGACAAAGAAATATTCATTGCTCAATTGTTTCTGAGAAACTGCAGAATAGCGCATTTTAACGTCCACGCCATCAACGAAATCAAACCAACTGAGACCAAAATGCTGATTAAACATGGGCTTAAATCGTTTTATGAGATGGTGCGACTAGGAATTGGACTATTCCCGACGCTGTCATTTTTTAATCATTCGTGTGATCCCAGCGTAGTCAGGTAAATACTCTTCACAACCATTTTTTTCAACTTTGCACGTTTTTTTTTTGCCATAGAAACGTTTCTTGATTGATTGCATTCTATATCATTCGGCGAGTTCAAAAATGTATTGATTCTTTGTTACTGTGCATGTTTCAAAGACGTAACATAAAGTTTATAAGACTGAAAATTATGCCTAAGGCCCGGTCGAAATAGACATTTTGAATAACAAAAACTCTGACAGAGCTTAATTTTGGTGGAGACCTTGGGTACGTCAGTAAAAATGAAATGCCAAAAGTCCCCATAGATCCCATTCCTGCTGAAAAATTAATTCAAGGTCAAAGTAATTTTTTTTTAAGTTTCTTTTGGATTGTCCACGAAAACAGTGGGTTTTATCAAAAGTATCAAAATTATAGATCATAAAATTAGCTGCAGAAAAGGTCCCATACTTTTATCTCCAAGAATCACCATTTCTAAGATATTGCCATTCTAAAGGTTGCCATTCTACATTTCCACACCACCTATGAGCAGGAAGTGTACTTAACACGTTTTTCTACCGTGGTTTTCCTGGTAGGCCAACTCCACAACGTGTTGTGGCAAAGTTTTATAGGAAAATTCTGTATTCACTGCATGATGATTAATCACTTTGATATTGATATGATTGATTCATTCTGATTCATACTTTTTATATTCGACTTCAACAGGCATGTCTCCTTCGATTTCTTCTTCTTTCTCTTGCTGGATGTTCATAAATTTTGTTTGGAGGTGGTTGACAATGTTTCGTGGTGTATTTCATCAGTTCGGACTTCCATTGTCTAATATAATATAAATTTAGTTGAAATTCCTGAAAGAATCAATTTATATTATATTAGATAATGGAACTCCGAACTGATGAAATGTTCATAAATTGTTCAACTGAAGATGAATCAGATTAGATTCTACAACCACATTTAGTGCTACAACTTTTTTTGCAACTGAATCGGTTCCAAAGTATTATCTGTTAATATCCAACTCCAGTCTTCGAGGTTCGGTTGATTGCTATTTTTGAACTTGATAGTATACTCGATACAAGAATTGATGAGCAGAAGTTGATTTTGGGGGAAGACAGGACAGTTGTTTTCCTCACAAAAGTTAGATATCTAAGTATGGATATAGAAGTATAGATATAGAACTTTTGTATCGACAAGTATGTCGATACAAATAATTTTTTGGAGCTTCATAAACAGCAAGGAAAAAGCGAATTGCTTTGGTAATCATCTTTCGACAAAAGGAGTCAATTTCTATAAATACTTTAGTGCGATCAATTGAATTATTTCCTTCGAATAATTTCTATACTGATGTTTCACCCACAGCCGGTTATCGCGTGTAAAAATGAAATATGGTATTGGCATTTTGGAAAAGCAGATAAACTTTATGAAAAATACATTTTTGTTTGCTGTCGATCCTTTCCCAGGTTTACAAAGTAAATAATTTCATGAATTTGAGCCCGTGCAGTAACTGGTATCAAGAAATTAACATCTTCATCAACCATAAAAGTTGTATTTGTTGCATGGAATTGTAAAATTGCTGTTTCAGTTATGACGATATCAGCTTCATTTTACTGCAAAATTTTCAGTGGTCAGCTTGTCACTCAACTGAAACGAGATTTATTATGAATATTAGCAAGAAATGGTGGTTGGTTTGCTGGAACTGTCATTAATTGATCAAGGATAATGTCGTATTCCAACGACGTCGTCCTGCATATGCAGAAATCGAAGAAGAAATGACTATTGAAGAATATGAATCAGATTAAATTATTAACATAAATCAGAACTACAGTTTGAATCAATCACCTATAGCAATATCAATTATTACCGTGTTGAAAAAACGCACCAAGTACACTACCCCACAGGTGGTGTGGTGTGTGTGCAATAATGTAGAACTCCTTCAACATTGGGAATGATGATTTTTAGGAAAAAGTATGAAGACCATTTCTGGAGATAATTTTGATATCCACAAATTCTGTCTTGAGAAAAATCAAAATTACCAAAAAAAAACGAAAATTGTAAACTTTGACCCTGAATAATGTTTTAGCACACATGAGATCTATAGGGACTTCATTTCTACTGGTAAACCAAAGGTTTCTACCAAAATTCAGCTTTTTTCTGATTGATTCGGTCGTTACTTGATGAAGATCCGTAGTAATATTGTAAATCATGCCCGAAAGAAAATAACGTCGGCCGCCGGTGGTGCGCCATAAACCAGGCGTGACGTGGCTAAGAGCACACGAGTGTACGATGATTCCCCGCCACCGAAGCAGCGAGAATAATGCTACCGACTTCGGCGGAACTTTGGCGAAATTTCTACAACATTCGATTACGATATTCAAAGGCTAGCCACTAGGATATCGACACAGTCAAGTGAAAGCTACATTGCGGTACGCGAAGTGATCTAGTAAGACATTTGATAGACATTCAACTAATAGTTAAATTTTTGGTTGAAGTGTTTGTTGTATTTAAAGTGACATAAAGTTAAGTTTGATTTTTCAGTGTAGTCAATTATTGGTGAACACACGGAGAAAAAACGTAACATTCGGTGTCGGAAATAATTGACTGAAATTTTTCCGTTTTCCTGTGAAAACAAGGAGTGTCGATTAGGAGGAAATAGAAAAGTTTGAGAAAATGTTTAAGGCTTTGAGAGCAGGCCTAGAGGAAGAACGAAAACGCCGAAATGAAGAAGATGAACGACGGAGGGAGGAAGAAAAGTTACGTAGAAATCAAGATCGTGAATTACTACTAGGTATTCAAGAAAAATAGGTAAATATTCAGGAAAAACAGAAAAAAATTCAATCAGATGTACCCTCATTCATTGGAAAATTTAAAATCTTCCCAAGTAAGTAAAGGGGAGGTACAGGAATTTATTAAGGAAGAATTTGGAAAGGTAGTTCAGGAAACAAAGGAGGGATTGGAAAAAGTAGTCGATGAGAAGATTAAGGTGGTTGAAAGGAAATTTAAAGAGAAGTTTGAAGGAGGCGACAAAAAGTTGGAAGGAGTCGACAAAAAGTTCATTATTCAATAAAGTCATTCAAGTTTTTTTTCAGGAGATGAAGCAATGGGAACTACTGAGAGACATATTCCGAAAAAAAAAGAATCCAAATATGCATCAGGAACAGTAGCCTAACTTGAATTAATTTATTTTGAAGAATTAAGCTTCTTTATTCCTTTAATGGAGTCGAAAGCTACCTCAGGCAATCTTCCCGTATCAGATACACCCAGAACTCAATACTCGGAGGAAATGATGAAGCCTCTTATACAGAAAATGATTTTAACTTATCCACTGAACATGATGAAAACTTCGACGAAATTAAAGAAGTAACAGAGAGAGGAAATGTCCGCCAATCCTAAAAATACTTGTAGCATTACTACTAATCCAGAAGGTAGTAAATCACAGCGCACAGGCTCGAAAAGGAAGCAAGCTGTATCAATTTAAAACGAAGGTCTGCAAGGCGTGAAGTTTAGCTGATGGAAGCACGAGTTGCGACCCCACAAAGAAATACATCATTGGAATTCATTCATTTAAACGTTTGTAATCTTCATTAAAAAGCTCTCGGACATTCGTAGAATGAAACTACGATCTACAATTCTGAACTGCGTCATTTCTGAGCTTGAAACAGTACAGGAAACCAATAGGACATGGTCATCAACAAATGGGACTACATAGAGTCCACTATGTACGTCAGGACCAGGGTACTACTCCAATCCGTATGGATCATCTTCTGACACATCTAGTTCTATTACCAAAATTCCAAACGAGGAGAACTCCCTTTTTTCACCTTGTCGGCGGAGGAGTAGCACACTCCGCGCTCTCCGTGAATGGGTGAGAGAGCAGTCTTCTTCCCCCTGAGCCTACGAGTGACTCGCCAAAGCTCGTCACTCTCAGGTTCGAAGGATTCCAAGGGCTCTTTCCACCTTTCGTTTCGATGCTCAATGATGACCTGTTTGACTTGATTAGCCATCCTGTTCGCCGCTGTTTTGTCCCCTGGAAAAAGGGTTCGCTGATAGAGCCTTCTCAGGCGATTTCTCTCTCGTTTCAAGGCTTTGATACGAGGGTGAAACTCCTTGTAGATCTTCAGCGGACACTCCTCCCTGGAGGTGGCCGCTCGAAACGCATCATTCACAGAAAGCTCGAAACGCTCAACTGCCGCGTCGAGTTCGTCGGGAGAATCGAGTACCTCAGGAGGGGCGCGCATCTCTTCGAGCTGGGCTGTGAAGACATCCCAGTCCGTCTTGGATCTCATGCGATAATCAGGGGGAGGAAGATCATCGCCCAATACCAGGATTACTGGATTATGATCGGAATCCAGTTCCGATAGAACGTAAATTTCGCTAGTCAGAGAGACGTTTCTGAGAAGCGCGATGTCTAGTACATCAGGCCTAGAATGCCCGCGATAGTACGTAGGCTCATCTGGTCCCAGCACAAGATATTCATGCCTGTCAACATGCACATGGAGCGCTTGGCCGTTTCGATTTGTGGCTCTGCTCCAAGGTCTGTGCTTGGCATCGAAGTCGCCAGCAGCAATTGTCGAAATGTTGCTTCCCATCAGCAGTTCATCCGGAGATTCTGGGAGTAGACGAATGTTCGGAGGGTTGTGAACCGAGATTATTCTGTGACAACCTCTTCTCAGTTGAATTTCGACCCCCACGGCCCCAGTACCGTGCAATCGAGCACTGTCAATGCCGTATTGGACACACTGCAGGGATCGCTTGACAAAAATGCCAACTCCCCCTCCAGCACGTCCAACACGTTCTCTGTGAAAGAATCTGTAGTTTGGAATGACAATAGATTCGTTCCTCAGATGTGTCTCTTGGACTAGAGCCACATCTATGTTGTTCTCAGTTGAAAAAGTTTTCGAAGTCCAGCTTCTTTGAACGAATGCCATTAGCATTCCAAAAAACTATCTTCAGAGATCTAGGCAACGTTGGTTGTCTAGACATTGGCAGTTCCGGTCATCACATTAGTATTCACCGTGAACATTGTTTGTAACACAAGGAATTTAACGAATAACTTTTTCATCTGGTCCAGTGCGGCACAGATGTCTGAAACCCCCTGAGGCTGAGGTGAGGGTTCAGGTCAAGGGGAGGTGGGCTTTGCAGAAGTACTTGCGCCCTTGGATGCAGCTTTTGCAAAGCTGACCCCCTCCTGGACGCGTCCAGACCCCGCAGGTCTCCCTGAGGAGGCTGGTTTTCTGGTTGTAGCCTGCCCCTTTTTTTGTACCTTTGGGTACGCGGGGCAGCCGCGGTAGTTGGCTGTGTGAGCCCCCTTGCAGTTATTGCATTTCGGGGGGTCAGCCCTAGCCTTTTTGCAGGCACTGGTTAAGTGACTGCCAGCGCATTTGACGCAGATGGGCACTGCCAAGCAATTGCGTTGGCAGTGACCAAAGCGCTGACATCGGTGGCACTAACCCACCGAAGTTTTTGCGTGCTGGGGTTCAATCTGAACCTTCACGCTTAGGAGGTCTTTGACCTCAAAAATATGCTTCTGGTCCCTGTTTACCAAAACGATGACCAAAGGCATAGGTTTGCCAGCGCGCTTCATGCGCGTGACGCTGGTGAGGTCAAAGCCCTTTGCTTCGAGCTCCTCACGCACATCGTCGACTGCCAAGTGCTCTGGCACTCCCCTGATAACGGCACGTATTTGCCGTTCCTCAGGGAGCAAGTAAGTATGGTGAGGGATTTTTTCCTTCACCAAGAGTCTTGACAGTCGCCGATAGTCATCAGGAGACTCCGGCTGAACTTCAATGCCATCATGTAGATTGACGGCTTTTGAGAACTTGATGTTCTCCTGGGCCGTCAATTTTAACAGCGATACCCATTTGTCCTTCTGTCGGACAACAATAGGCGGACCTTTGTTTGAGTGTCATATTTCGGAGGGGTAGGGGGGGCGGGCTCCTCGTCATGGACTGACCTGATAGTGCTTCCTGTAGTGGAGGCACTATCATTTACATTTACGTCTAGAGTTTCCATCTCGATTTCATTCGTGCCGCTTTTAGCGCTTTCGCTATGTGCGGCCATCTCACTGGCCTGATTTAGGGCCACTTGACGTGTTGAACCTGTATCGATAAAAATTTTAGAGGAGGTTGTTTTATTTCAATGAAAGGGAGCTTCCTTTCTTCAATGTTATTTGTTTCAATGAATGAGTATGGTCTTCTTGACTCTGGGCCTCTGGAAAATAAACTGGATCAAAATTTTCTTCATCACAGACGTATTTGTTTGGTTGATAACTGATGTTATTTTCATCGATTTCGTCTGGGTTCGAATCAGTGTATTCGACGACAGGGACAAAACTTTGTTCAGCATGAAAGACTTCTTCCGAAATGAAATTTCCATTCTGATTATTATTCTGGAAGGTGTTTGGACGAGTTTGTTGTCTGAGAGTTGTGCCATGTGATATGCCACTCATAGGGGTAGGTCGAATATTATTTGTATTTGGTCTGTTTGGAGGATTTTTCCAAACATTTTGAGGTCTCCCGAATACTTGAGAGTTCGTGAGAAATCTTTGAGGGAACCCGTTGATCGGTCTTATAGGTATAGGTTGATTCGGAAATGTGGGGCGTTGTACATTTTGCCATTTGGCTGATGAAAATTTGGTGAAGAAAAAGTAGGTCTCGGTGTATTGAAATTAGTGTGGGGTTGTTGATACATAAGATTTGGAGGTCGACTTTGTTGATTGTGATTAGGGCGAGAGTTGTTTACTTGAGGTTTTGGGAAGAAGTTTCTTTGTAGATTCAAAATATGTATTTCGTCATTGAGAATTGTCAAAGCATGTGGTAGTGACTGGATATTATGAGCCCTTACTCTCGTACCATATGGTTCAACACATTGACATTCACATCAAAGCCAAGTGGCCACAAGCGAATAAATGTATCTCTTGGACTTACCCGCTTCCTTATAGAAAATTATTTCATTAGGATGTAGCTGAGTTGAAAATATAAAATTCGCACATTGAATCCATGTAAGACCATCAAATACTTTCGTCGATGCATTGTTTGGAACCTTTGGTGTAGTAATGAATATTACTGAAGTTATACACCACCATAACATTATATTGAACACTTTGTCACGTGATTCAGTTACCAAGTGATCACTTCGACAGAAGAAATGAACTGAATCTTCCTCTTGAAGATGATCACTTGGTCATTGAAACACGTATCGAGGTGTTGAAAATGAAGATTTGGTGTTGGGATGGAAGTCCAGTAATATTCATTCTCTTCAACTCAATTTTCTTGCAAACAATATCATTATTATAAGATTTGGTATAAGTCTCTTCGGAATATAAACAACAATTTCCGTATTACCGTATTAGGTGATATCCATATGAAACAATGCAATTTTCATTCCATTTATTCATAACTACTCAACAATTATATTTTCATTTGACCAATTACTGTTATAGAAAACTACCTTTTTTTCATTACATCCTTAGATCATCAAATTATCACACTCATTATCGATTTTTTCTGCCTTCAGTAAAATAGGATTCTTCAGAACTAGAATCAAAGTTTGTTTATCCATTTCAAACGGCAATATCGTTGAGGAACTCATAGAAATCCTGAACATCCGTAACACTTCTATGAGAGCTACTTGAGTCACCATAATTCCAAAACGGTTACCTTTAACAGAATTATTTTTCAGTATTTTTATCAGTTAGTTCAGACCAAATAAATTAATTCAAATCGACAGACTGAAATGAATTGCCTTATAATTGAACATTTTGGATTTACAAAGCCAAATCCCTGTAACCTAATTTTTCTCTCCTTATCAATTTTTGTATTGCACCTAATATTATTGTCATTATCCAAATTTCAAAATTTGAACGTGTATGGGTGAAACAATGTCTTGAATACGATCACAACCAAAAGCAAATGAAACGTGACAAATACTATCTACCACTTTGAAGCATACCTGCTTTGTAAATAACCACATATACTGATGGATGATGTGAGATTCACAAAGACAAAATTGAAACTCTTCAAATCCCTCAGAATCACTATATTGCATGCAAATATGAATATTGAAGATATTTGTATTTAGATTCTAGAGTACCTCGCGAGGAAGCATGATGGGAATAGATTTGCAAGCACCGAGGGCCCATCTGAAGAAAACCTGAAGGTGAATTTCTTCCAGTTGAAATTCAATCAAATGACATTGTAGCATATCCTTCTAACTTGCAAAGGATACTAAGTGTTATTGCTCGAATACAAAGTCATGGTTCCCCATTCAACTTATTTTCTATATTCCGAAGTGATGGTATTCAAAGTATGCTATGAAACTGGCTGATACTTGATGTAAATCTATCATAATATATTCAAAGTTTTCACGAAAAAGCTTATGAAACCGCTACACATGTTTCACTTTGAAATAGCTTCTTCAGTAGTGTTCAATATTTCATACAAGGAGCTATTGTACCGTTTACAATATTTTCAAGAAGCTATTGTATAGTTCAGTTAACTGTTTCAGTACGTAACTGTTTAGTTCAAAAAAGGTATTTAAAATATACCCAATCAAAGTATTTCAGTATAACTCTGAGTGAAATATTTTTAGTAAACCCTAATAATTTCAGAGGTGTACAAGTATTTTTGACGAGGCACACAGTATTTGAGTTATGATAAGATGTATACGGAAAAACCAAATTATAGAGGATATGCTTGAAATAAAACGGATATTGACACTAAAACACCATAATTATAGTTATGCAATTCTTATTAGCGCAGAAACGAATAGCACACCTCAATGACGAAATATAGCCTGTTGTTCATAACGACGAATAACAACTCAAAATATACACAATCAGTATATAGTGTGCGAGTAAAATTATATATCTACAGTGTGCATATTTCACACATTTCATAGAAGTAGCATTATCTTTCGCGCATTACATGGAGACTATACATTTTGCATCAATGGATAATGCATGTTTCATATCACATCATATTTCAAGCGTTAAATACCAATATAGAATTTGCGAATCTCAGTATCCTTTCTTTGTGGTATTTTACTCTTCAGAGTGCTCGAAAGTATACTACATTTCATAGAGAAAGCTTGCAATTTGACACAAAAGATCATTTTGGTCTAAACTACTCTTCATCTAACTCCTCGAGTCGTATTATGGGGGATGTTATTCGAAACAACCTATTAACTTAGACTTCAATTTTCATGACCTCATGTTCTTTTTTTCAAGGACAAAACACAAGCACTACAGGAAAATCATTGAGGCGCTCTACGAGCGATGTCTGTCCGAAAGTAGCGATTCACATTGGATTTGAATCGCTGGAGATTTAATTCATTTTGGGAAACGTTCTCAGGATGTTTATTCCAGATAAACGCAGTTTTCCAAATGAAAGAGTTCTTAAACAGTGAAGTTTGAGGTGTACTGAGTTGAACCTCGAAAGACAGCAACAGTATGTCGCGTGTTTCATATGTACCGCTCTTGATGGAGTCAAATATGCTAAGTCATTTGAACACCTCCCGTGAAAGTATCTATGGAAGAGAGACAAATCTCCAACTTTTCTTCGATGTTCCAGACTATCAACGTTGCAATATATGTACGTGTCTTCAATCAGAAGAAAGGCTCTTTTCTGGATAGAATCCAGCAGTCTCAAGGTATGCTTAGGGGCGGAGCTCCATACATGAGAACAATACTCCAAAGAAGGTCTGATCTGAGCTTCATGAAACATCAAAACTTGCTGTGGTGTGTACAGTTTTCTAGTTCGAAACAGCATTCCAAGTTTTTGAGAAGCAGCCTTTGCAATTCCAGCGACATGGTTGTACCAAGACATACTGTGTCCATTTTGACCTTCAGCAAGAAAGCGGAATTGTCTGTCGTGACAATATTATTTTCGGTTCAAAGAAATCTACCTTTTTGGAGAAAATCAATGCCTGGGTTTACGTGACTTCAAATGGCACCTGATTACTTCCATCACAATTCGAAATCACCTCTGGTTCCTCATTAAGATAATGTCACACCAATAGGTGGTTCCACTTATGTCTCGCTTGCGTTCGAGCAGTTATTTCTACTAAGTACTTTTCTTGGTTTCTCACATTTTGTCTTCAATCAAGGACCGCCTGCCCAGTACTGACGATGCCCAATAGGCTGAAACAGCTGTCTACCGGTGGCTCTTGAATTGAAATCAATATGGGAATGATCTTCTTTTCATATGTATATACATATACAACTTGTGTTCCAGAAATAATGGACCAATACCAGCCCAAACATTAACTTTTTGTGGGTGTTGTGTGTGTCCTTCCCGATAATCATGTGGGTTTTCGTCATTCCAATAGCGACAATTTTGCCTATTAACATTGCCATTCAGAAAAAATTAACACTCATCGCTGAAACATATGTTCAACACAAGATTATGGATGGTAGGTATTGACTCGATTAGACATGAATTAACAAAACTCTATTTTCATAAACAACACCTCACGATTTGATCTTCACAAACTTTATTTGAAAAATATATGTCACATGTTTCGCTAACACATTAGCTCTATCAAGTGATTTGAATACTTAAAGTTGCTTCTCACACTGATATTTATATATTACAGGTAACTATAATTGAGACTACCTCCAAAAAATGACCTAAATCTCTACCTAAGGCACCTCTTCAATTATGATCACCTGAAGCACATTACACCACATTTACCTACATCAATAATAATTTTTTCTCGGTTTATAGGAAAACAAGTTCAATAATAGTGATCTATTCAAATCCAGTTGGTCATTTATTAGAATTTTTGAATTTTTAAGTTTATTAATTTCCATTGCTTCCAAATGATTCAGTTTCAAACTTTTATTTTCTATGTGCAAAATTTCGAACTCTTCGTTAAAGTTATGATTATCTTCTAGAAGATGATTTGAATATGTTGAATTTTTTTTCTTATTTACATAGCTCACATGATGTTCCTGGACTCGATTCCTAAATGTTCTGTCAGTTTCACCAATATATACCTTAGGACACGTTCCACACTTCAATTTATATACTCCTGTTTTCTCGATTTTGGATGTTTAAAGACAAAACACGTTGATGTCTGGACACTTTGTATACACGCGGATTTTGTTGTGACCAATAATGAACATTTCGCTTATTAAAAATTCTATTGTTGGTGATCTTAGTTTCATTAGACCAAATTATGTTGAAAGGGAAATTTTTATCGTCTTGTCATTTTCTAGTGTACCATTCAAAAAAGGTTGTTCGCCGTGCATCGTCATCTGGTTTGAGTCCACGACAAATCCTAAATTTATATAGATGATATTTATTTTTTCTCAAAATGAAGTGAGCGGTAAATTTGGCTACTCCGGTATCATGTTCAATGGTGAGAGTGGATATCTCAGAATTTTCAACAACAGCCTGTAACAAATAACGCTGACTTTCTTCATTATATTGTTTTGTCGGGAAACCACAGGTTTTTAAAATTATCTGTACTCTTTAAAATTAAGAAGTAAACGTCTAAATATTGATTTAACAGGTTATCGCCTATCTGAATACTCATTAGAGTACGCACGTTCAGATTGTTTTGTCGGGAAACCACAGGTACTCTTTTAAATTAGGAACTTAATTAACTCAGCATCAATATGTTACATGGCAAAGAAATTTGGCATGTAACATGACAACATATCAAATTTTTCAGTATTCGAAAAGCTACCGTTTTCCATTTTCAACAGAAATTAGGTAGGTAACGAGGTGTAGAAGTAGGAACGGTAAATTTAAAAAATGTAGGTATATTCGAATGTAATGCACACAACTTAACACACAGAATGTTTATGAACAGATATATTGCACGATAGACGATAATAATTATAAAAATCACAGTAACAACCTGAACGACTCCCATCTATGACATCTCAATCATAACTGAGCTAAATGGAACTTCCACAAGTTTGTGATCCTTACAGCAGACAAGATTTTGCAGGATTTTTCCTATAAAAAACGTGCCGTTAGACGCTAGATTGTCCTCCAAAAACGTATGAGGTGTCTTTGGGTTTGTGATGGCGCTCATTATCCAGCCGGGTACGCTGGATATCGCTTTCCAACAACCCTCGTGCTTCCGTGTATGCGGAGGCGTGTCCAGTGACACCGACTCCACTGTTCACCTCAGCACCCCTTACGCCTCGTCGAGACAACCGGCAGGCCTCCCAGACCTCGAGACGACCGGCAGGCCTCCCAGACCTGCCGGTCTGGTATCGCGGCAGGCCTCCCGCTATACCGATCTCGGTATAGCGGGTTTTCTTGTTGCATTCAAGTTTTTCCCTTATTGGGACACTTCTCGAGTAACATCTCCTGATGTACTCTGGCGACATTTTCCTCCTGGAAAATGCTATTCCGCTGGTTCTCCGGAGTTTTAAATTCTCTAATTCAGTTCAATAAAACTTGAATGTCCGATTTATTACTGCGAATTGAGGACTGAGTCCTTTGTGACAGTTCGCTTTCACTAACTAATCGACTTGCAGTGGAGCCGAAAGTGCCAAGGTTTTGTCGCTCTGCGACCACGGAAGAGGTACTCGTGTCCTCGTTGACAGAAGGGTTTCGGATAGCATGAGACATCCTCAGACTAGATGTCTCAGCTGGAGTTTTTGGAATACTGTGTCCCGCGAACACAGATTCCATTGAGA